TTTATGGGAAGAATCAGATTATCCCACTTTTAAAATTAAAAAAAAAAAAAAAAAAAACTCAAGTAATGAGCCCTACACATGAACATTACTCTACCTAGGTGGATGGGACATGATGAGCCAATGCACCCTTGGACAGCGTAGAGTACCTTTAGACCTCCATTCACAAAATGAAAGCTTACATTGGGCTAGTTCCCTAAAATTGCTTATCAGAATTAACAGAGAGACAGACACTTATGGGTACTAAAATCCTATTCAATTAAATCCTGGCATAGGATATAGATCCTTAGATCGTTTTTTTCTTTCTACAGGGTAGCTGAACTAGAAAGGTCACTCATAAATGTTTCTGCCACCATGAAGAACATAGCCAATGACATCAATGATGGAATGAGCAACCTATAACAATCTTTAGATTCTCTAGCTAAAGTAGTTTTACACAACAGAATACCTCTATATTTCATCCTAGCACAACAAGGTAAGGTTTGTACAATCGCTAACACCTCATGTTGTATACGGATTAATACCTCAGGCCAAGTAGAACAGGATATTGAAGCAGTACACCAAACAGCTACTTGGTTACACAAAGAAGATTCTGGTTCCTAATTTGATTGGTCTAGTATCTTCAACTGGTTGCCAAAAGACACTCGCTCATGGAACAGATCGATGCTGTTAACCGGTTAATGATACTTACTGTTGTTATAATTATCACTAGAACAATCAAATGTTGTCTGAAACTTACGTCCAATGTTATAACTCAGAAAACCAATTTAATGTCTATGAAAGAAAATATGTACATTTAAAACAATTATATTTCAGACAAACTCGAGCTCCCTCCCTGAGCAGGTCTTCTTCAGAAACCGGGCTATTCCACTGATGTGGCCTTGCCCTACACCGACCCTCGCATAAGGAAACCACAGAAGCAAGAGGCTAAAGCTGTGGCATGGTGAAGATGTCGGATGGTGCCAGCTACCTCTTTATATTCATAGCATCTGGGGTCTTAAAGGCTTGATAAACAAGCAGCCATCCAAAATCATCACATGCTTGAAGTCCATGCAGAAGAAAGCCTTCTTTCAGGATAGTGGTCAATAAACTGATCAAAGAATTTCTCCTGATATCCCCTGATCAAAAGGAGGGAATGTGTAAGAGAATTTAAAAATCAAGGTGTCTGATGAAACTGAAATAGCTGGCTTGAGGTTTGGGCCTGACTTCATTTTGTTAAGGTCAGCTTTTGTCCTAGCAACAGTTAACCTTCGTAAACACTTAACCTTGCTAAAGAAATGTTTTTCTGTGATTAAGCCAAAGGAATATCAGCAGAATGCTCCCTGGGGATTGTTGCTCAAATGGCTATCAAAACCCTTTGCGCAAGCTGTCCTCAGGAAATGATTTTGCCTTAAGCCTGTTATCTTAACAACCTGCTCTCAGAAAACCTATTCTGTAATCACCTAGGCTCTAACTCACTCCCCCGCAACCAGATGACCGATCTTTACATTTCAAAGGACTTCAAGCTGAAGCTGACCTGGTCTATAATCAACCATTAACCCCCGCCCTTGTCAGCACATACCTCTACAATGATGTATGATGTCCAATCCCCTTAGCCCACATATGCTCTATAAACCAATTCCTAGGAAAAGCCTCACTTCGAGATGTCCTGCCTCCCACTGCTCTAACTGCTTAGCAACCAGTCAGAATATTGTAACCTAACCTCCTAGTTTAGGCCTATAACTATCCACACAAAACTGTTCGTCACCAGAGCACTGGTTTTCTTTGTGAGATCTAGCGTGTCCCCCGCTCGAGTGGTTTTTCTTTCAATAAAATAAAACTCTTTATTTTTACTTTAAACAGAGTACGGGTCATTACTCTATGACACTAGTAATCAATTTAGAAAATATCAAACATGCCAAAAGGCAGAACCAAAGGACCAGACACCAGGGGAAAAAAACTTAACAGGACAGACCCACAAGTAATCAAGATGCTGGAGTTATGAGACAACACCTTCAAAATATCTGTGATTAATACGTTCAAGAAAATAAAAAGATGAAGAATTTCATCTGAAAATAGAAAGCTATCAACAATGAGATAGAGATTAAACATAAATTCTATAACTAAAGAAAAACAAAATGAAATAAAATACTCAGTAGGTTTAATAGTAAATTATTTCAGCTTTTTCTCTATAAGCTTGTTAGTTATATATTCTTTCATTATTCTCTTAGGTCTGTTATTCAGGAGAACAGAGGATAACTGACCCGGAAGATAAATCAATAGAACTATCCAATTTAAGCACGAAGGGGAAAAAAGGAGAGAAATACTAAAAAAAAAAAAAAAAAAAAA